AAAACAAAATTCCACTGTAAATCACTTTAAGGAGTCAAATATCACCTTGTAATGGGAAGGCTAATTTTTGATCAAATTTTGTATTATTGATTAGAAGGTGCTCCTAAATTTTTGACTGTGCTCCTAAATTTTTTAAGTTAGGAGCACAAGTGCTCCTAAAAAGAAAAATAAGCGTAGAGCCCTGACATTACATGTGTACTCAGTAATGCTCACAACACCCTATTTTGGGTAAAAATAGGAAAGATAATACTTTCCTCTAAAGAAACAGGATTCCCTGAATTATCGTCTTTGATATCGTTATTGCAATAAATACCAGAAATACCGTGATATATTTTTAAGCCCATATCGCGCATCCCTATGTAGCACCGAGCCCAAAATCATGATGCGTTTCCACTGTCAGACCAGAAGCGCTTCACTAAAACCTGCCCTTTACACGCCTCTCTGGAACAACGTCACGCAACCCCATCATTTTACCAACAAAGAGAAATTATCGGAAAACTTATCGGAAAGAAATAGCGAGATCACAAAATGATTGTTTGCATCTTTGCTGTTTACTTAAAAATTTAAATCCAAAAGCATCAATGTTTTACCAGTTTTACAATAATAATTGATACATTGATCATACTGAATTAATTGGTCAGCACTGAAAATTAAGTCACACAGAAATAAATTGTTTTTTACTGTTATTACACAAAATACATACATGGAGCTAATTATGAACATCAGTCAGGTATAAAGAGACTAGACTAAATAAATACACAATTGTGATAGCCTATATGATTTGTCTGATTTCTTTAAGAGGTCGTATTTACCATGTTTACTATGGTAATGCATGGCTAGTCTTTTGCATCGCTTATAAACATTTCTGCCTTGTATAGTGATCATAATCCACATCGGATCTCAAACAGAAGTTATTTCATACACTCGCTGCTGTCAGAAAGTGAGTTTTCAGCTAAAATTATTTTAAAAGTCTTTAATGTTGGAGTTATAGCTGTTAACTATGTGAAATAATCTGTGGCGCTGACGCTCTCCAGATGCGGAGAAACTCCGCCTTTGTTCATGACCACTCCTCAAGCCTGAGCTAGCCCGCTTTTGCCAAAGGTTTTCGGCGGGCCAAATAACCCTGGCCGTTGGCCCCGAGGAAGCCCTGACGAGGCACGATCATGCCGGAAGTGACCGTGGAAACGCGACTGGCCCTGGCATGCACTAGCATGCCCGCTTTTGGCCCGACAGTTGAAACACAGCTACTATGTGCTTTATTTAATGTTAAAAGGGTGTAATATGACTTTGAATATCATTGACCAGTTGTGGTCCATATCGTGACCTTTATAGTAGGGGTGGGCGATATGGCACAAATATCGTATCACGATTTTTTTTTTTTTAAATACATCACGATTCTTTGTCATATTGGTTTTACTATTTTGCAAGTTGTCTGAGCATTACAGCAAAACTAATTTCCCTATTATAAAGACAAAGCATTTCAAGGTAACAAAATATAAAAAAAGAATGGCGGTGGGCGAATTTTATCTGCTATTAAAAAATAAGAACAAAGATACACGTTACAAATACATATAATATACAAATAAAACAGTGCTTTATTTTCAGGTACAATATTCAGCAGGAGCATTCAAGAAATTGAATGAACAAATATAGAATTAAACACTATGTAGATTTATAACTTTTGCTCCTCCATAAAAGCCCAATTTCAAATCAGTAAAATCATGTGATGTGACTTTTGCAAAATGGGACATGCTTGATTTATTAAAGTTGATTAGATTTATTCATGTTTTTAAAAGCACTAAAGAGAACTTGCACTGTTTGAACGTAAAGAGTTGAGAATAAAAATACTGTACATACGTAAGAGTAGGGATGTAACGATTCACGAGCCCTGATGTGCATTATACAGAGACAAGAGGAAAAGAAAAAATACCATTGAAAGACAGTAAGTTCCCCTCAGACATATATTCATATAAACTCCTACCCCTAACTGAATCGCGATTTGTTTAGCATCTCAACCGATTTGAATCGTCACATATTTAAATCGATTTTCAACCGGCTCGCGGTTAATCGTTACATCCCTACATAAGATAAGTGTGGCTCTTAAAGTGACAGCGGCCTATTCCTGCTTCTGACTTTGTGTTAAATATTAATCAAACAACAAAAGACAAAGACAACATCACTCACTGCTCTTGATTGAATGACTTTTGTAGCTTTAATAAGAAACAAAGAAAGTTTAATTCTTACAGTGAATACTATACTGTTTTATTTTACATTTAAATATTCATTTTTGTAGCAGGCTGTTAAATGAATACTTTAGGCTTGCATTAACCTTAAAAAACCCTTCAAGCACAGTTTGTATCTTTTTATTCTATTGTATTTGTCCTTGCTTTTTTTACTGACAGTTTAATTGTCAGTATTCAATAATTTAAATAATTCAGGATTTTTTTGTTTGTTTTTTACTAATATTAGTTACCTTAGTACTCTGCTATGGAATTGTGGAGAATTGTGACATTTCGCTGGTCTCTATATTTGATATAAATCACTCTCTTTAAATCACTCATATAAAGTTTTGGTCATATGGCCCACTCATAATCGTGTTAAATAATCTTGATTACAATATTGTCCAAAATAATCATGATCATGATGTTTGCCATAATCGAGCAGTCCTAATAGAAATTGAACAGAGAGTGTAAGTGTTAGAGGGTCAAGTTTTTTTTATATAAATAAAAAATAAAACATGTAGATAAAATGGAAATGGAATAGAGAGTGCTAGTGTTAGAGGGTCAAGTGTAGATGGAAGAGATGCTTTTAGCCGATTCTTGAAGATGGCTAAGGACTCAGCTGCTCGGATTGAGTTGGGCAGGTCATTCCACCAGGAGGGAACATTTAATTTAAAAGTCTGTGAAAGTGATTTTGTGCTTCTTTGGGATGGCACAATAAAGCACCATTCACTTGCAGAACAGAGGCTTCTGGAGGGCACATAAGTCTGAAGTAATGAATTTAGGTAAAGGGGTGCAGAGCCAGTAGTGGTTTTGTAGGCAAACATTAATGCTTTGAATTTAATGCGAGCAGCTACTGGTATTCTTGAAGATGGTTAAGGACTCAGCTGCTCGGATTGATTTGGGCAGGTCATTCCACCAGGAGGGAACATTTAATTTAAAAGTCCGTAAAAGTGATTTTGTGCTTCTTTGGGATGGCACAATAAAGCACCATTCACTTGCAGAACAGAGGCTTCTGGAGGGCACATAAGTCTGAAGTAATGAATTTAGGTAAAGGGGTGCAGAGCCAGTGGTGGGTTTGTAGGCAAACATTAATGCCTTGAATTTTATGTGAGCATCTATTGGTAGCCAGTGCAAATTGATAAACATTTTGCAAAAGTCACATCACATGATTTTACTGATTTGAAATTGGGCTTTTATGGAGGAGCAAAAGCAAATTGATAAACAGAGGTGTGACGTGCATTCTTTTCGGCTCGTTAAAGACTAATCTTGCTGCCGCGTTCTGGATTAATTGTAATGGTTTGATAGAACTGGCTGGAAGACCTGCCAAGAGAGCATTGCAATAGTCCAGCCTGAACCGAACAGAAAAAAGCAAATCTGCAGGACCAGGTATTTTTAGCAATGTGGTCTGAGAAAGTCAGCTGATCATCAATCATAACTCCAAGGTTTTTGGCTGTTTTTGAAGGAGTTATGGTTGATGTGCCTAACTGGATGGTGAAATTGTGATGAAACGATGGGTTTGATGGAACCACAAGCAGTTCTGTCTTGGCAAGGTTGAGTTGAAGGTGATGGTCCTTCATTCAGCAAGAAATGTCTGTTAGACAAGCTGAGATGCGAGCAGCTATCGTCGGATCATCATCTTTTTTAAGGTGAGGGTGGGTGGGGACTTTAATGAGGGCAATAGGCTCTCATAAGACTTCTCAAACTCTTATATGAAACAGAAACATCAATAATCTCTGCTGTAAAAGTTTGAGATTTCCCTGCTTAGTAGAAATCTAGGGAAAATCCTACTTTTCTTTATAACTTTTGAGAAATGTATAAATATTATAAGCCTTATACAAATAATAAACATGTGAACAACTGCACTCGGATTTGCTAGCAATCATGCCCAGTGTGAAAGAACCCTCAATGACATGCATTAGCTACTGTACAGTCAATAATAAACAATTAATGTGAACTACTGTAATAAACCTATGCTTAAATTACACTGGACTCGACGGAGACTGGTTTCTCCCAAGGTTTTTTATCCACTTGTCACCACCGGAATTTGCCACTGTCGCCTTTTGACTTGCTTAGTTGGAGGCGCCTAATGATCAGCAATATTATGGACTTGATTGCACAGACACTACTGGAAGAGAATTGAAATGAGCTGGATGATGACATCATTGAATCAACAATGAACTGACTTTAACTGAAAACTGTCTGTTTACTAATGTCCTCTTTTTAGAGCTGCTTTACAGCAGAACTTAATTTTGTCTGCATAATTGAATCAATATTTTCCTGTTTAACACTGTAAACCTGCTTTGACGCAATCTGTATTGTATAAAGTGCTATATAAATAAAGGTGACTTGACTTGAATGGATACGCATCAAAGCGGATGTTCCAAATCCAATGTCTTGTTGCCTAATAGAGCATGAAGTACATTACAAACAGAGCATCTAGCATCCAGGTACAATATTAAAACTAATATAGCTAAATAAAAGACATTTAATATTATTAATTATTATATAATTATATAATAATTATTAATTATAATAAGTTACTATAATGAAGCACAATTATAATGAAGCAAGAATGTTTAATCCTGGAGAGCCACAGCACTTCACACATTTTGTATCGTTTTGTACACCTGATTTGATCCGTGAACTAAATTGAGTGTCATATGAGAGTGACACAGAAAATGTGCGATGCTGTGGGTCCCCAGAATCAGGACTGAAAACCACTGGTTAACAGCATTTTTTCTTAGGAATAAAATGACACATATGTGATATATTTACAAATTAACTGATATTGAAACAAAAGCAATTGACATTGACATTTTTGGTTTTCTCATATTGATTTTAGCAATCATTTAACTTTGCTAAAATCAATATTAACAGTAGCTTCACATTCACATTATCAATAAAATCTGTGTTATAACTCCAAAAGTTCACCTTCGCGAGTGGCAAGGATATGCCAGTGACAGAGGACGAGTCCATAAACCTCTTCAGGTCTTGGTGAAGAAATTCAAACACCAAGTAAAGCTTATTTTCTGTGTGTATCACATCACGCAACCTGTAGGTGAATAAACAGCCCTGTAAGACTCCAGAAGCATATTACACTGACTGAGTTTGACTCTACATTATGATGTGGACACAAGTTATGAAAAATTCAATCATTCAGGGCTCAGTTTCCCAAAAGCATCATAATCCTATATTGATCGTAGGTCAATTGGTGACAACTGTTTCTACATAAACTTAAGCTTACGATGCTTTTGGGAAATGCAACCCAGGACTAGACACTGTACATACTTGACTATGTTTGGGTGATTGAGCTCTTTTAGCAGAGAGATCTCACGTATGGCGGTGCTGGGAACACCTTCAGTCTCTCTGAAATCAAACAAATAATCATATGTCAATCAAAGACGACGTGCATTTAAGACAAACATCTGTTTACATGACTACTGAACATCATCTCAGCTTATAAAATACCCCCTACGTCTCCGACGCCTCGGTGTATTTGGGTAATACGTCATTTAAGGTTAAATACTTTTAAAGTTAATGACAGCGTATGCATTAACTAATGTCAACAAAGTGAAACTTCATCATCTGTTTGTAAACGAACATTAAAATGTGTAAATCTGGATTATCTACATCAGCAGTGCAACAGCTTTGACAGAACGCCTTTCTGAGAGGCGAAGTTAAACACGTAAATTACGTAACATAAGTTTTATGAATCATAAATAATATACATGTACGTTAGAGGCAGGCACTAAGTTACAATTTAGAGTGTGACTGTATGCAAGATATTTAAATCTAAGACACTAATGACACAGAAATCTGACACAAATTTAACACAAGAAAAAGAAACTAATGACAAACACTTACGTGTCTAACCGAATTTTCTTTAGGGCAACTGTCTCTCCGGTGATTTTATTCTTGGCTTTATAAACAACCCCGTATGTTCCCTCTCCAATCTTCTCGACTTTCTGAAAAGACTCCATGTCAAAACTTCCCCTTTTCCGGGGAAAACTGCCACTCTAAATCTACTTAAAACAGCGGTTGTACAGAGAGAGTACTTTTAGTATCCAAACGGCAATCAAAAGAATTAAAATCAATTATTTGATCTTAAAAATACTGACGACTGAAAATCATGTCACAACTTATTATCAGTACCGCCAGTTCCCGCGTTTCATACAGCACGCCTTTGCTACAACGCACAAAAACAAGCCCCGCCCTCTGGCCGAACGAAGAAAGGTGCGTCCAGAGAAGTTCAGCCTTCTAAACCAATCAACTGAGTGAAACAACAAAGCCCTCCCACTTGACGTAAAACCAACCACACATAAAACTTCGTTCCGTATATGTCTAAACCGGTCTAAACCAATGCACTGAGGGGGAAAAATAACGTCCGCCCTCTTATGGTTTACAAAGGGTGCTGGAGCTCAAAGCCTCAAACTAACACAATAACACCCAGTTGAAACGATAATAATAGCACATTGGCAAAACTGGCGTGGCCGACTCTATTCATTACCCGGCGATAGACTGCTGCTTTCCAACGCTGACGTGCCTTTTTGTGCGCCGCGCGCGCTCTAGAGACACTTACGTTATATGCTTAATAAAATATAGTTTCAAAGCAGCTTCACAATAATGAACTGTGAAATAATAGTGTTGATGTTGCAAAATTCATAACAGTATGAAACGAATTTCAGCTGTAAAGCTCTGCAGAAGAAAATTGTCATTATTCAGCTCAATTTAGTTGAATATTCATTCATTTAGTTTAACAACAGGGTCAATGTTGCAAAGTTCATTAATTGTGAAATTCCATGAAATAAACCTGAAATTGTAACGTTAAAATGTAAATATTAGACAGACTGTTGGATATTTAGGTGTCTAGTCAGAGGTTTTGTGGAAGTAGTATCTGCCACTCCCCTCGATAGGAATGAGTTTAGGAAAAAAGGAACTGGCAAACTGTGTTAAATGTCTTTTAACCATTTAGTGAAATTCATATGGATGTAATGAGGAACAATCTCAACAGTCCAATAATCCCCAGCTGCAGAACCCGTACGTCACAGCAGTCTCAGCGCGTTAGTCCCAGTCTCCTGACCGACCGGTGGTGCTGCAGCGCAAGACTGGCCGTAAAGACTTTAAAACAGCAATGAAGCAGATTTCCCAACCACCATAAAACTCCAAAAGAAGAAGAAGAAGCAGATTTCAAAATACAAACCTCTTCAAGAAAATGGCGGAAGTCTTGGAACTGCATAAACTCAAGGTAAGAAAAAAGGTGCAAACAACCTTTCTGTTTAGTGTTTGGGTCTTGCTGTAACAGCAAGCTGTTCTTAGCTGTGCTAAGTTGGGTAACGTTATGATGAATAAGTCGTGATATATTTAACGTTTCAAGCTTCATTCAGCACTCATGTTGCTCAAAAATCTAGCCAGCTTCCTATAGACAGACAGCGTTTTGACTATAGCCTCAAACATAGTGAGCTGTGTACCTTTCGTTCCTCGACGTAAAACAATTTACTTAAAATAATTTTAGCTCCGTCTTTAAGAGACTTCTAAAATGCGACTTTTACTTTGTTCCCTCACCACTCGTAAAACAACGTAAAACAAAAGTGGTTTATAAAAAAAACAACCAGCACGTGTTCTTCTTCCCCTACAAGTGCCTAAAAAAGTGGGCTGTAACAATAGACATCATGGTTTAAAATAAGTTAGTTGCTTACTTTTTTTGGCCATCATAGTCCATCAACACCTAGCTGCCTTCCTAAACCGCATTTTGGGCGTAAAGGTCTGAAAATCTAGTGAGCGGCTTACGTAAACAACGTGTGAGTTAGACCATACATTGACGTAGACAAAGGATAGAAGAAGTTTTCTCTCTTTCTCTCTTTTTGTTTTTCCCACTCTTCTATATATATATATATATATATGTGTGTGTGTGTGTGTGTCATGGTACATTCAATTTATTTAGAACTCATTTATCCAACTTTGTGGACTGACAAAACATAGGTTTCACACTGCAGATATGTGATTTGTTTGTGGTAAATGTAACCCCAGTCACTATAACTAATATAATCTCCACAGTTGGCAGAGCTGAAGCAGGAATGTACTGCTCGTGGGCTGGATGCCAAAGGAAATAAAGCTGATCTGATTGCCCGGCTGCAGGCTTACCTGGAAGAGCATGGTATGCATTTGCTAATGCAAGATATTTCAGCATATATATTTATATATTTATTTATTTATTTATTTATTTATTTACTTTCTTTCCTAACCAGTTCTGATTACAATTGTGTTCTTAGATATCTAATATCAAAGTTAAGTCTAATACTTTCCCTATTTAATGACTTTCTACTCCCCTTTTTTTTCTTAAAGAGGTTGTTAACCCAAAAATTTAAATTCTGACATTTACCCACCCTCATGTTGTTTCAAATCCGTATGAATTAATTTCTTCTGCTGAACACAAAAGACGATATTTTGAAGAACGTTGGTGATAAAACAGTTTTTGGTCACCAGTGACTTCCATAGTATTTCTAGCTACTTCCATAGTAATACTAGCAAATGTTTGGTTACTTATGTTCTGTGTTTAGAAAGAAACTCATACAGGTTTGGACCAACATAAGGATGAGTAAATGAAGACTGAATTTTCACTTTTGGTTGAACTATTCCTTTAACAAATGTGAATAAAAATAATTTTGGGCATCCTGGTAGGACAAATCTAAAATTCAGAAACTCTTACAATGCCTGTTTAACATTTTAAAATGTGGTTTTAGAAGAAGTGAATGAAGAGGAAGTTCTGGGAGAATTTGGTGAGGTACGTTTTCTCAGATGTGATGTTTCCATTGGAATTTTCAGGGCAAACTCTAATTTCAGAAAGTTCTGTTTGTGAACCTTAAACGTTGCTCTCCAGTTCACATATTCATGTACATGTTACATGATGTATTCTGCACAAAACTACAGTGCCTGCTTGGTGCCCAGTGGTTGTGTTAAGAACAAATGTTTAAGAAAATAGTCAGACAGTGCTGTTTTTGAGATTAAAAATCTCACACTTTTTTCATTGTCAAGATATACAGTATATTGTCATATACAGCCCTAGTTTTTCTTTAACAAACTTCACCCATCTAGTTTTATTTTAAAGCATACATGTATACAAAGTGCAGTCGATGATTGACAGGTAAATAGGTGGTCCTTTACTGTCCAGGATACAGCAAAACAAATTAAAGTTTACCTTTCAAAGCAATGTGGTCACGTGCCTCTCTGATGATCTCTCTTTGGGGTTAAATTAATAGGATCACCTGTGATTATTTTTTTTTTTAACTGTAAATGGATGAATTTTTAATGGATTTTAATAGGTGTAAACGGACAAATGTGTTTGTCATGTTCCAGATGGGACAATAGTCATAGTGTTTGATTTGCTCAATGTAACATACTGCACGTGTTTTAGGAGGCCTTTGCCAAAGAAGAGACAGATGTCCAGAAGCAAGAGTTTACTCCTCCTGAAGAGTATGTCATTCCCCTTTCACTTATATAATACAACAGCATACACTGCACATAGCATATATAAAAAAATATAACACTATAGTACTAGCTTTGCCTGAGGATGAGTGTTTGGAAATGGGTTGATGTTTATTTACTGTGCTCTTGATTTCAGGGTGACTGAGAAAAAACTGGTCAAGATAAACCCTCCTGCTGCAGTTGGTGAGGTAATGATCTTTACTGCAACCACATACAGTGTTAGTTAAACCACATTTGTCATGCTTATGACAATTATTTTTTTTAAAGATTCTTACCATGTCACTGAGTTTAGACACTGCAGCCCTTGATTCTGCTTTGCTACTATTAAACATTTGTGAAGCTTGTTTGTGAAATCACAGCCAGGTGGCACAAAGGGGTGTTTTGCTCCAGTAGGGCATTATTCATATGTGCATTATTTATGATTTAAATCCTATGGTATATTCTACATGCCATAAAAGATGTAAAAATTATTATTATTATTAGTAGTATTTAAATGATTATTTTCATTGCAGAGGCTTCAGAAAAGAGCAGAACGCTTCGATCTTCCACCGAATGCAGACAGCAAAAAGGCGGCACGAGCAGCAAGGTTTGATTGTTTGAGAGAGAGATTACATTAAATGTCATTAAAAGAGGGTCAAAGACTGAAGAATTCTGAGAATTTCTTTAGAGTGAAATGCAGTGTTTGGACTGTGCAATGGTCTTATTTAAGAAAAAAATTTCTGTCAAGAAGACAAATCAACATGACTGTTTGTCAAACATTCAAATCACTTTAAATTAGAAATAAAATTTGACAACAGTAATAAATTGCACATGCATTCTAGAGAAACAAACAGACTTGTAACTGTTATATGGGACCTGTCAAATGGGGAAAGTGGACATGTGAACATATACGTGGGTATCATCTCTTAGCTATAATATTTATGTAATCCAGTAGATTATTTTGTGTGTGTGTTTTGAGACCTCTATATATCTTTAATTCCTATTCTTGTTTTAATAGGTTTGGTTTGGAAGTACCTGAATCTGTGTCGTCCAAAGGCAAGTTGACATCTAATATGTGTACAGTGCATCTCAAAACTGTTTTCAGAAGTCCTTTTGTTAAAAATACTGCTGCTATTGGTTATTTTCAATTAAGTTTATTATGTGTTGTTGTGCCGCTATGATGCTGTTGTCATGGATAAGACCATGATATTATTTTTGTGCCACACATTTCTATACTTCTACTGCCACACGTTGGTTGTGTCCAGTTTTATTCACATTCTCATACCCACCTTATTTTTTAATGCGGAAGTAAGCTGTTTTCTGTGAATGTGTGAGACTTCCGCTTAATTAGCTGCTGTAGGGAAATGACGAGAAGAATAACAAAGTGCAATAAACAGTAAAAATGTTTGTGGTACAACCCAGTGTGCTTATAATTAAGACAATGCATTTAAATGTTCTGGTAAGAAACACCAGTTTGCAATATCAAGTAGCAAAGCAACTAAATATAGCTGGAAGCGGATGACACCAGAAGCCAGACACATTAAATTTACAAATGGCTGTGCCCGCTCTTATGGGAAAATAAGGTGGATTAAAATAGCATCGTACAAGTACTTAAAAATAAGTTGCAAATGAAAGACATGACATAACATTTGAACAACCAGTCAGTCACCAAGTACAGTGTTTTGATCTGATTTTCTTTGTGATGACTTTTGGTCGTGACCATCTGCAATGAATGACTCAGTGAGTCAGTTGTTTTACATTTTTAGTCTGATAATGTCTTCGAATTTGTTCATTTTAATCTTTTAATAAACTATTTATTTACTTAAAACTGGCACATACATAAGTCAGTCATTTGAATTTGGACATCAGTGCTTGCTCTGTGTTTGTTGTGAGCAGTATATTGTGGAACCCAGTCTATCTTTAAACTTAAGGTTTCAAGCTACAGTGTCTAATTAATGAAAAGTTCCATATTCATTGACATATGTTGTGTTAATTTTTTTTTTTTTAGGAACTTCAGCCAAACCAGATGTGAGTAATCTGGTTGCACATTTTCGTAGGGGCTTGGAAATTGAAATGTGAAATAAATTTATCTCTGCAAAACCACTGATGAACGTGCCACTCTTCTTTCAGGTTGACGCTGAGGTATTAAAGAAGAGAGCAGAACGTTTTGGCATGAGTGTCTCTTCAGTTTCTAAAAAGGTACCTTTTCATATTTCACTTACAACTTACAAATGACATTGTCTTGCATGGTAGCTATTTGAATGTGTGTGTTCACAGATTGAGGATGATGAAAAGCTTAAGAAGAGGAAGGAGAGATTTGGCATTGTCACAAGTGCAGCGTCTGCTGGAGCCAATGATACAGAGGTATGGGTTCTGCTGGTAAACTGGTTTTAAAAGGTTCATTAAATCTGTGTGTGATGATCAATGTTTATACGTGAATAAATGCCTGTTGAAATCTGTTCATCATATAAAGTGATAGAGTCTATCGGGAGACTTGGATTAAACTGCTATTTATATGTATTACTTTTACGATATCTGTGCTTTTTGAAGCTTGAAAATGTTGATTACGTAGATTTTTGATAGATGGATAGAAGCTGAGAAAATATTACAAGGTATCTGTGTTCTGCAGATGAACAATTTTTATGGGTTTGAAATTAGTTTATTTCTGAACACAGGAGAAGCAAATTCACCACTCTCAATTCAACTTCATCTGTGTTGGTCATTGCATATGGCCATCTATTTAGAGTTGCCCCTTCTCATTTATTCATGTAAATGTATAGAGGGTATGCATTGAACACGCCCCCTCAGCCGGACTGAGTGACAAGAGAGCCTGCTGCATGAATGGATTTAATAGGGAAGCTGCGAAAACGTGAGTAAAACAAACGATAATCGGTTTAAACTAAAGGTTGCTGGACTCGATATAATGTTCCCTACAACTTGGCAAATATCCAGTGGTCCATGGATATTGATATGAAGCCAGGAATGGTGTTTTCTGACATTTATATGTGCCTGATTTTGACGCTGGGGAAATAAAGCAGATTTACCTGTGAATGCATTTTGTAATTGGTCTAAATCTGGATGATCACTTGTATCAATGTTATATATATATATATATCGTCCAGCCCAAAAACTTATATAGTTTTTATTTAAAAATATCCAGTTATGCAGAATATAAAATAATAAAGATAAAAGTAAATATTTAATTGACGAGTTGTCAATACGATATATTATAATACAATATATAGGGTATGATTTTACCACAAAATTCAACATATTGACATTACATGATCCGTGTTTCGCTGCCTGGAGTCCAAATGTTTCTGTGAATTGCAGTGATTCATTTGCTTCTCTTTTCTGTAGGTTTCGGCAGTCTGTAAAAATATGCCTCTGATTTCTTGTCAAATCTATTTGTACGGTCAATCGCACAGCTCTTTCTCCTTTAGCTGTGTTTTGTGTGTTCTTTCGCAGCATTTACGCTGAAAACAAATGCTGCTATCAGTCTTTTTGCCACTCAGTGGGCGGAGTGGCAAACTCACTCCAGCTGATGGTGACGTCACGTGCACACCCTCTATTAGTCAAGTCATATGTAGAGATCGGGCTGGGCGGTATATCGAGTTTGTACGATACATCGGTATTTTCTTTATAAGCGATTCGATACGAGGCAATACGGTTTATATCGATATACAGTACACTGTAAAAAATGACCGTGAATTTAACGGTAAAAGACTGTAAAAATGCTACAGTAAAAACCTGTTAAATGGTTAACGGTAAATTCCCCTACTATATACGGTGAAAAACTGTATTGGACATTACATGTATTGGACATTAATTTTACGGTAGTATACCGTTTTTGGAAGTGAAAAAGACCGTATAATTTACAGTGAATAACCGTAAATTGACATTCCCAGAATTCCCTGCATTTCATTTCAAATTTGATGTTTTTTTTGTTGAAATAACTGTTGTTTCTTAGTTTTTTTCTTATCAGTTTTGTACATTAGGGTTGTGTGTTACACCTAATGTTGTTAAATGAATGTTTATTGCATTATTTACCGTGATGGTGTTTAGTATTTGTGTGAATGACACTGTGCACCTTCTATATATGTTATTATTTATTATTTATGTATATATCCTCTATGCCCCGCCTTTCTGAAACGCGTCGATTTTTACAAAGCTCATCGGTCTGAAAAAGCGAGGTGTGCTGTGATTGGCCAGCTATCCAGTGCGTTGTGATTGGCCGAATACCTCAAGCGTGAGACTGAAATGTTACGCCCCTTGCCATATTGTGATGATGCCCTGTCAGGCCGGAGCGATGATTCAAAAACATGAAAACCCATTATAAACGAGGCATTCGTTGCATCCAGTGGGGACATAATTATGGATTATAATTCAAAACTTCGGCGCCGCCAAACAGACAGAGCTCAATTAAAGAGGAGCGCAATAATTCTGACTACAATATACATTTTGCTGAAATATTTGTAGTTAATAAATGTGACATGTAGAATTTTAAGTAAGTCTATTTTTATGATAGCACTGACTGTAAAGTGACTGTAATGGGGTAACACAACTCTGTGCTTTTGTTCTCATTCATTTCCATTTTTAGTTTAGTGAATTTAACTTCAGCTTTAAAAGCCTTATTTTTGTTTTTAGATTGCAATGTTAGAATGAAATGTGATTTTTAACCCTTTTTTGCACAATATAAAAGCTTACATGGTTATATTCACTTTTTGTTTTCATAGCCTTTAATATGTATTGTTTTGTTGGACAACATTGGGCGGTAAGTGAAATATATATATATAATTATATATTAAATACAGATTTTTAAAATACAAAAACGAAAATACCGAGATGTATATCGCAAATCGGCCAAAAAATACAGAGATGAATTTTTGCCCATATCGCCCAGCCGATATGTTTTTATGTGTAGAGAGCACATAAAATGTGATAAACAGAAGCTCAAACGTTGCTTGCTTGACACACGAGAACCAAAAGGTTTGTTCTCTCGTCAAGCAAGCTATGTAATAGCTCATTTAGGGCAGTGCTAAATTTCTTCTCTGGCTGAACAACCATAATGTCATCAAAACATTAGAAGTGTCTTTTGAGGGTTGTTTTCATTTTACTGATGAGGTAGATCTAGATTCTCGCAGGTTGGACGTGGCAGCAGTTCAGTCTTTGCAAAGTCAAACAGGAGAGCGCACAGACAATAATGGTTGATTTGTGATTTCCTAATTTCTTTAACTTTAATATCTTTAATCCAAAAGAATAAAGTTATTCAGTGTGAAGTGCTACCAATAAAAAAAAGTGTCATATATATATAGTAGTTAATAATGTTACTGGAAAAATAAATTGGGACAAGAAGATATGGGCTCTTTAAGCATAAGTTTGTTTCTGTTCATATTTATTTAGCTTATTTGCTGCTTAAACATGCCAAGTAATAAATAAAGGATCTGCAGTGTTAATGTAGACTATGTACAAATATCTTTTGTTCTTAGGGAATTAAATAAAAAAAATGTTCAGCATCTAATAAAATACCAGACAAATATTTGTATTTATGCATTAGTTTGTTTTATTTAATATTTTATGAGAACACTGCATGTATGAATTTCTTTCATTTTCTTTAGACGGAAAGGTGCTACACTAAGTGTTGGGAAACAATCACATAGTTTGTTACAACCTCAGAGTTCTAAAATTTCTGATATTTCTGGAAAATTATTCAGGTTATCTTTGTTGGAAGAAATAATGGTTCTAAAAATGTGATAATATTGTGTGGGGTGACTAACATTGCCTACCATACAAGAGTGTCACTTTGTGGTAAGCAAGACTACAAACATTTTCACCATCATCTCCATATGATCAGGTTAAATGTAGTGAATAATTTAGACAAAGGACAAAAAAGTTAAAAAAAAAATGTCAGACAACATCACTTTGAGCACATTCACTTCAGAGGAATAAAACTGAATCTTATCTGCTAGTTAACCGCTGTAAATTGTGGCGGCAACCTTCTCAAGCGAGGCTCCTATTCAATATATTGACCATGTTACAATCTTATGTTTCTCGCTGTATAACCCTTCTCCTCACCCCACCCTCTTTCTTTTTCAGGCAAAGAAGCGAAAACGTGCGGAGCGGTTTGGAAATGTATAAAAAATGGATCTTTCCCTTTTTGGACTTTTTTTTTTTTTTTTTTATTACTTTTTTTAAGTGTTCTTTGCAGTTCATTTTGAGTTAAGCTTGTAATCCCTGTAGTGCCATGGTTGTTTATCTGCTATTTACATTAAAAGTACCCCAGTTTCCTTACTAATTTCTCTCTTTTGTCTTTTATTCTTGATGTGATCGATGATTTGCATTTGGCATCAGTGTGTGTGGGCTCTTAAGGTATCAGAAGCAGATCAGGAAAGGTGTGCCTGCTAGTTGCTAGAGATGTAATGATACATTGATATGGATCGATGTATGGAATTAAATTATTAATGAACTGTATCAATGCAAAGCATAAAAAAAATTGTGTTTAAGATCTCAAAGCATGCATGGGTTTAGCTACAATGAATCTTTAGTACTCCACTAAAGAAAGAAAGTCACCAACATTTTGGATGGCCTGAGGCAATGAGTAAGCACATTTTTCTGTTTTTGGAAGAACTATTCCATTAAAGCTGCTAACTCTCACTAGCCCACCAGTGGGCTCATTATTACATATTTGGGACCATTACAGGTGCATCTCAATAAATTAGAATGTCGAGGAAAAGTCTAGGTTTATTTCAGTAATTCAACTCAAATTGTGAAACTCGTGTATTAAATAAATTCAATGCACACAGACTGAAGTAGTTTAAGTCTTTGGTTCTTTTAATTGTGATGATTTTGCCTCACATTTAACAAAAACCCACCAATTCACTATCTCAACAAATTTGAATACTTCATAAGACCAATAAAAAAAAAAAATTAGTGAATTGTTGGCCTTCTGGAAAAGTATGTTCATTTACTGTACATGTACTCAACTTCTTCGGTAGGGGCTCCTTTTGCTCTAATTACTGCCTCAATTCGGCGTGGAATGGAGGTGATCAGTTTGTGGCACTGCTGAGGTGGTATGGAAGCCCAGGTTGCTTTGATAGCGGCCTTCAGGTCATCTGCATTGTTGGGTCTGGTGTCTCTCATCTTCCTCTTGACACCAAAGACTTAAACTACTTCAGTCTGTGTGCACTGAATTTATTTAATACACGAGTTTCACAATTTGAGTTGAATTACTAAAATAAATGAACTTTTCCACGACATTCTAATTTATTGAGATGCACCTGTATATATGATTCTAGAAGATAAATTAATCTCTACACGAGCGCTATATCATTGGAAAGTAGTTTTCATATTTGACCACCGTTTTTGAGATATATGATGGAACTCTGCATCTCTGGTTATGGAGCTTGCTGACTGGATGCCTCCTGCTCCTTCTGCAGGACATGCTGTCACAAACCAAAACAGATCAGGCTTTCAAGCAGTGCCTGCCGTTTAAGTACAGATTTTGCCACAAGAAAAAAAAAAACCCTGTTATCTGCATTGCATGTGATGTACCGCTTCAGTTCTTGCCAAATGATGACTGTTTCAATGATTGGGCAGCCTATTATTACATCCTTTTTCACACACACTGGCTTCTCTGAGGTAGTACTCCAGTATATGTTTACATACTATCATACAAACTTATAAGTTCGAGTTTATAGTAAAAAGTCAGCTTTGGGGTGGAACAGCTTCAATTACCAAAAAAAAAAAAAAACACCCTTCAGATTCAAGTTCATTTTATCAAGTAAACTGAAGTAAATTTCAATTATATATTTCTATGTGTATATGTAGTAAGTACAAATGTATGTAGTAACTATGCCAATATCAATACACTAATAGTATATTTGTATCGTACTGTTTCAATATTTTTACATAAAGTATATTTGGAAAGTCTACTTTAGAAAATGAACTTGAAGTATACTTAAAGCTCATATGCAAAAAAAAATGTAAAATATTTTTTATATTTATTTATTATATACAGTTTACAATTACTTGTAAATATATATATTTCTATATTTACAAGTAATTGTGCTTTCACTGTCACGTAGTACTAACTTCATAAATATGTAACGAATATTGTGGAATTTTCACTGCAAAACAGCACAACAAATCTGGGTATAAAGTCTTTTGAAAATATATTTAATATATTTTTATGGCCCCTTATCAGTGTCCTTACTAATATTCTTCTTACTAAGTTTACAATTGACTTTCTCACAACTACACGTGTGTGCATGCTGCTTACATGTACAGAACAATTAATTCTAAATAAAGTGTCATTAGAATTTAATGACCCATTAATGTGCTATATGCTAAAAAAAAAAAAGACTCACGAGGTGTCTGTGTGTTTCAATTTTGGTTCTGAGGACCCAAAGCAATGCGCATTTTGTTTGTCTGTCTTATCTGACTCACTCAGTCCATGGAGCTCTTTTTAAACAAGCTAATGATCTCCTAATGAGTTAATGATCCAGATCACAAAATGTGCGGTGCTGTTGGTCCGCAGGAGCAGATTAAAAATCCTCTGATTTGTGGCTCAAACGCAAACACTTAATTATGGACAAGAAGACAAATTCTGTTTCCATTCACATTTATTTGAAGATTATATTGACGTGAACTTCTGAAATATTGTTTTTGTTATCTGTAAGTGATTGTTTGTTGGGCATCTTGTTAGTGACTTTATTAGGTCTGCATACATGATTTATTAGTTAAGGCATTGTCATGTTATGCTCACATATAGTAATAGCACCATATTATACACAATACTGAGTCACATGATTATTCACTACACTACAAGCATCATCCTAAACAGCACGTGTGCCTAAATTTTACCATTTTACCTTTAAAACCGCAACACATAACTGATCAAGCATTCATTTATCTGCACGCTCTAATCTTTGTCAGATTCTCCTTGACCATATGAATCTTTTTTCTCATCTCTGCTCTTTTCTTTTGTAGATTCTTTCACCACCTGAGCAATGAACAAAATAATCAGTCAGATAGCAATCTCAATATCTAGGGCCATCTTAACGTTGAGCAGATCCTGGTATTCCCGCAGGTGGCGTGACATCTCCTCCTTCAGGTGCCGTATCTCGTCTTCCAGACGGGACACAGTATCTTGATAGTTTCCGGCCTCTGTAGCAAACTGCTCTTCCATTTCTCTCATCTGCCTCAGCAGAGCCTCATTCTACCATCACAAACACACACAAAGTTTTAGCTATCTAAATAAGGGAATATCATACATTTATATTGTTTTACATCTGGGTTGTCAAACTCAATTCCTGGAGGGCCGGAGCCATGGCCGTCCCAAGGCTTTGAAAATTTGTGTGGGGGGGGGGTTAAAGATTTGTGTTATAATAACCCCTACAAATACAACTCATTATATACACTATAAACACTTTAAAGGAGACAAGATGTTTTCTCTGTTTTGGAGGGATGATTATCTTTAAATCATACCCTATTTATTGCATCAAAATTTGTTAATACTTTACTATATTTAAGGGTGGATAAATATCAGCTGTTTATTGAAACAATACATAACTACAATAACTCTGTCTAGGGCTCTTATGAAAGTTTATAGCATAATTTGTGAAAATTTAACTATACTGAATGACATGGCATAGTTTTTGCGTATTTCATTTCATTCTGTAACCTACTTGTTCTACAGATCTGTGTGTACTAGTGTTAAATGCTACTGTTTTTGACAGCTAACGTTTATGACCGATTATATCATGATAATTTTCGCGTTTACATTACCAAATGTCGCGATGCAGTGTTGCCAGATATTGATACTAAAACAAACAGAATACTAAAAATAAACCGAAATTATTTCCAATCTTTTGCAAATAAGACGCTAAACATTCTTGCAAACGGTCTAAACTGAATTATATATGTCATGCAAGCATTCATATGAGGAGCTATGGCCTCATAGCTGGTTACGGGCCTGGCCGGAGCCCTGCAGAGTTTAGATCATCATTCAACCCTAATTAAACACACCTGATCCAACTAATCAAGTCCTTATTTGAAAACTACAAGGTATGCGTGTTGGAACAGGGTTGGAACAAAACTCTGCAGGGCTCCGGCCCTCCAGGAATTGAGTTTGACACCCCTGTTTTACATAAAGCAACCTATAATGACTACAGAAATACACACATATTTGACACAACTAAACAGTTTAGGTTTCAAATATAGCATAATTAGTGAAACCCCTGAATCAATTTCTGTTTTTTGTTTTTTTATACAAAGCTTTAGGCAGCTTGAAAGGAGATGCATAAATATTTTATATATGTACGTACAGTGCTCTTGAGAGCATCGATATCACAGTTCTGGGCTTGAATTTGTCTCCTCAGGTCATTGTTCTCTTGCTTAGCCTGTCTCATGGCCTCAGCATTGCGCTTAGCCGAATCAGTCAGGTCAGCAAACTAACAGAGAAAACACAGAGATGTTCAGTAAGTTTTACAGTATTTTACCAGTGTATTATTTGTAACACACTCACACAGTGGCTCTTCATGATGGCACTCACCTTGGACTTGTACCACTCCTCAGATTCCTGCATGTTTTTGGTGGCGATGCTCTCATACTGAGCTCTAATGTCTCGAAGTGCTGCTGTCAGATCAGGCCGGCTGGACGTCTCCATCACCTCCATCTTCATCTGCTGACTCTGAACACTCACCTGTACATCCTGAATTTCCTACACATTTAAAATACACAATTATTTTGAATGCTTGCGTGTTGTTTTTTGTTGAAAAAAGTATACAGATGGAATCAAAATGGAAAGGTTAACAACAACAAGAATGTATTTGCCATGACATTTTGTAAGGATAAAGCTTCCTCATTAAATCCTCACAAGATTTTATGACAAATATTTATTTTCATAAAAGCAATTTTAAACGTATTCCTCTCATTTCTTAAACACTGAGTACAGATCAGAAACTTGACATGTCCACTGGCATAAATTTACAAATGTATACTTACCTGTTGTTAGTTTATACTGATAATTACACAGAAATATAGTTTTTTTTTTTTACACAGAATTATAGTATTTGGCCTATAATTCTACTAAATCTTTGATCAAGATATACTTTCTAAATATCATTAAAGGGGCAGTTCACCCAAAAATGAAAAATCTGTCATCATTTACTCATGTTGAGCAGCGAGCTCATTGGCTACCGATACAGGAGAGAACCAATCAGCTGTGCCATGTGATAATGATGTCATTAGGTCAGACCTATCGGACTGTGCCATCTAGAGTTTCATGCCAGAACTCTGTATTTGTTCCATATAGTTCTTCTGTTGAACATAAAAGAATATATTTTGAAAGTGTATGGGAAAAAATACTACGGAAGTCATTGGGGACCAGAAATTGCTTGGTTGCCTACATTCTTCACAATATCATCTTTTGTCTTTAGCAAAAGAACAAAACTCAGAGATTTCAAACAACTTGAGGGTAAGTGATGACAGAATGTTCATTTTTGGGTAAACTATCCTATATTGAGTCCTATCCTATCCTATACTATTGAGTATTCTAAGTATAGTTGGCTTGAAGTTGTCTTTACTGAAAGATTAGCCTCTTACATACTTTTCCCCGACAAATACTGGTAATACACCAGCATGTATTTTAGATACTATCCTTATGAACTTACATGTTTATCATAACAATTCAGCTTTTCAGCAATTCAAAATGGTTCCTACACCATATAATTTGAATTTCACATTCACCGGATTCATTATTTCTTAATTAAATATTAGTGTCTCACCTCATCATGCATCTTCTTGAGGAACTCAATCTCATCCATCAGAGACTCAATCTTTCTCTCCAGTTCCAGACGAGCAAGTGTAGCATCATCCACGTCCTTCAAGTATAAACACATTCAGATTATTACTACTGTTGTATCTGTTTTTTAACATACTTTCAAAATGTAAACATTGAATTTTTGTGATTTTGTGTAAGATCTTTAGCTGACTAAGTAGTGATAAGGGTGCAAATAATGTCAGAAGAAGAAAAAAATAGAGATTTTAAAAGATTTACATGTGTTTCAATTCACTTTGAAAAGGTCATAACCAGTTGCTCCAGTGTGCTTGAATATGAATGCAATTTAAAAGCTACAGCATTTTTTTTTTTTTTTTTTTTTTTTTAGTGAATGTGAGGATGGGAGATAATCCCAAAACGAGCACAGTCATCATTTTCAGTGAAGAGCCCCTTCTGGGGAACTCGGATTGCTGACATGATTGATGACAGAATTTTTGTATTTGACTGATATATATTTTTTAAGAATCAAGAAAATATGGCTTGAATGGATTCTTAGAAAACAGAGTGGATTCCAAAATAAAAGATATGGAGCTATGCTCCGTCTTCACTCAAACATTGATGCTGGAGTCTTAATTCTTTAAGTCCTTGAATCTTTAAATAAAGAACAAAAGAAGAAAAAATGGCTACCTATGTCCTCTTTATATATTTTGCTTTCAAAATTCAGTTCATTTTGGGTATGTAATTTTCAATGTGTTAAGGGGTTAAAATGCAAGCTTAATGGACTTGAATCTGAACTTATCAATTTATCATCTTTAATTATTAAAGATACATTAGAAACCCTTGTTATTAATGACACCAGTGACTGTTAAGTGAACTGCAGCCAGCTACCTGTTGTTTGTGCTCACACTTGTGGATAGAGTGCTACAGGGATGGTAGGCCAGAACCCGGAAACAATTAGCATTTTAGCCCTTTTGATTCCATTGTCCTTAAGTCGATTTTTTTTTAAAGTTAAGCACAAGTTAAACACAAAGACCTTGACACTGTGACAGGCGTGTAGACTTCTTATTGTTACTGTATGACAAAAATAATGAACCTCAGAGACAGCATTCAGTGGAAATATGTAATATGTTGTAAAATACTTTCCATTATCACAGTACCTTACGAAAGAGAGTCAAATTATTCTCAGCTTCCTGTCTTTTCTGCATCTCCTCGTTTAACCTGCACATAAGAGAAAATAAAAATCCACTTCAATTAAAAAAAAAACAACAACAAGATTTAATACCTTTTCCCAGAGTAACAGAAAATTTAATTATACATTAGTGTGCTGTTAGAATCATGTAATCCATCTTTTATTTGATACTGGGATGAGTGAGAGAGGGCCCTTAGAAAGACTGTATGTCTGAAGCGAAGGTTGTAATATAAATATAAAATCTTATCTGGCAGGGAGTCAAAGGAGCAATTAACTGATTTGCTAAAAAGCATCTGAGATTACATTAGTACCGGTAGGGTGAAATGTTCTTATTGCAAATGTAATAATCTATTCAAAGCATAAGCCAAACGTGTAGAGTGAATCCTACAGTACTTCTGCTTTGTCCGTATCATAATATATTGCACAAAGAAAAAAAGACTAAATCTAGACTAAAGCAGAAATAGATATGTCATCATACGCTAACAACATCAACCACAGCAATGTATGATCATTCTTAAGGTTCAGCTAAAAACAGGCATCAAAAACATGGAGTTATCTATTCTACTTTATCTATAGCACACTTGTACACACAATTTATTTTATTTTTCAATTTATTTATGTGTATTTTATTCACATCTTATTTTTATGATCTGTGTCTTGTTGTTGTTGTCTCTGTGTCCTGAAGCTTGTGACACCAAAACAAATTCCTTCTGAACATAATTACAGTGATTCATTAAAACATAGGCCTACTGTTGATGAAACAATGAGTACAAATAACACTGCAGAATATGAACAATGCGCGCATTATAGTTTAGAAGAAGAAAAATCTAGAAAGTATATGATTGTTTAATATTCTATTCATAGTCAGTAATGTGGATGATTGCACTGCTTTAAGATGCGTGAGCTAAAGCTGAACATTTTAGTAGGCTACAATATTATAGGCCTACTTATTATAATGTTATATAGTAGTATATAGTTAATGGCTAAATGTTTAAATTAATATATAAAAAGTTGTCAACTAAAATTAGAACCCATCAATATTGACTAAAATAAATGTACATGCCATGATTGAATGATGACTACATTTAAAGGATATTTTCGTCAAAAGACAAAAACCATGATTAAAATTAAACACTGTAAGAATGAAGGCTGCATGTTTGATACATTCAGATAAAAAAAAGTAACACTTTATTTAACAGACATTCTACTGACTATAAATAACTTTGCAAGTAAAAGAAGAAAACTAACGTTTTCTACGTTAACTAATGTTGCTGAGCAATGTTGCCGTCAACAGGCAGCCAGGTGAGACACAGGGCCTATGACCGATCTAAAGTCTCCAGATAGAAATTTGTTACCTATTCTCAAAGGGAAAGTGCCCAAGCAACATCGCTCAGCAACATTGCTCAAAAAGTTGCCTCATGTATCATCACCTTATGATCTTCGCCACCCAGCCACACACCTTGCCCTCCAGAACCAGAAGAGGATCCTATGCAAGTGGACTCCTTTAAAAGTCTTTCAAAGTAGACTCTGTCTGTACTGCAGAGCTGGCAGCCATATCATCTCAGAATGTCCTTTGAGACCTCCTCGTTTTCCGGTAAGTTCCATCTGTTCCACCATGCTCAGTAGTGGGCAAACCATTTGTAAAGGGAATCATCACTCACAACATTTAACCATCAGTTTACTCTTACCCTGACACCAACTCATTCCTGGTTCTGGAGGGCCGACATCATCCTTGGCTGCAACCTTGTCTTTGTGACCCCCACTGTCCATCATGAATCATGCATGCCATATAGTGTCTGTGCTCCAGGGATTTATGAATGAGGTGTTTTTTGGAGTTTTTTGTTTCTTCATCTCAAAAGAATTCAAAAGAATTTGTTTCGCTTTTTTAAACTTTTCACAGCTTGGGAATCTGAAGTGAGAAGTAAATATTTTCAGCATATCTAGCTGTGTTTTTTCAGCAGAGGAAGAGAGACTATCTGCTCTAGCTATAGCCCTGCATTGTGACTTTTTTTGTACTAACCTAAACGTCATTTGTCTAAAACTAAAAAAATAAACTAATCAATATCCATCCATAACTGATGTATTTATTGTAATGTTTATAATTATGTTCATTAGGCATGGGGGGGGGGCTACTTGGTTATATTTTTAATTATTTTAATACTGTGTTACTCATTGTTATGAATTACAAGATGTTACAGTCCATAACAA